CCCTGCTCGTGCTCCCGCGCGGACAGTCCCGCGGGCCTCTGTCCCGCCGCGCGCGGGGCTGCTCCTCCGGGCACAGCAGCGTGGGGTGCCCTTGGCTGCGTGTGGCTGTGGCCGTGTCTGTGCTGCCGCTCGGGGAAGGAGCGTTTCCCCTGCCAAGGCACCGCCTGGGCTCTTCCTGCAGCTGCAATATCCATCTCCGGCTTTCCTCTCCCTGCGGGCGCTAAGGACGAGTCGGTCTGTAGGTGTTGCAGCGGAAGTAAACGTGGATGCAGGAGAGAAATCGGTTAAATAAACAGGATAAAGGCAGCCTTTAATTTGTGAAGTGTGACATCTGTGTGAAAGCTCCAATCTCTGACTTGGATTGCTCTTTAGTTGCAGGATGGGGAACAGCCAGCCTGCTGCTGTAGAGCTGTCTAATGATGCTGCTGTGAATCAAATCCAGGTAACCATACTTAAGCGATTTTTACTTACCTTCAACATTTATAAAAGCTGCGATTACTTAAAACCCTTTATTATCTATACAAACAAATGCTGTAAATACTTCTGCATGAGGAACCTGCTCTTATGTTTATTATATTGTGTTTAGTGCTGGCAGCATTTTTTATCCACAGTCCTGGAACCTGATATTCCTAGGCTGCACCCACTTTAGGTTTTCTCAGACCTCTGCTCAAATTGAGTGCTGCTGCCAACACTGGGGATTGAACCTTGTGAAATGTCTGATAACAAGTGAAGTTAAATATCCGAGTGATTGGTTTTTAAAGTAAATTTACAGAGACCAAATCACAGTCTGAAACAGGAAATTCCTGAATTCCACCCACTCAGAATCCATGTTGTCACTCTGATTGCCACTGGCACATCCTGTTTGCCTTAGGGACAGGGAAAGTTGTACTAAGCAGTTTGGGGAGCTGCAGCTTGTCTGGCAAACTGCAGGAGGTCTGAGCAGAGCAGGAGAGGGCTCAGGGCTGGCACCACTGCAAGGCAGTTAGTTGTGCCATACACTCCACCATCCTTGTGCTCAGCTTTGCAGCCAAGGGCAGGTCGTGCACAGCTTCAGAGGTGCCAGCAGCAATTTTCCTGTGTTTGTTACCATTATAGCAGAGTTTTAATCTCTCTGTTAGTTTTCATGACTCTTCAATGCTGTTGGAACTACACTAGCCTAAAGCTCACTCACTTGAACTTTCTTGTGAACAAACAGGACATTATTTCAGACAACTGTGTGGTGATTTTCTCTAAAACAACCTGCCCATACTGCAAAATGGCAAAAAACCTCTTTGAGGGTTTGAATGTGAATTACACAGTTGTGGAACTGGACAAGAACACAAATGGGAGGCAGTTCCAAGACATTCTTGCACAGATGACTGGTGCCAGAACAGTAAGTACATCCTCTTATATGTAACAAGCAAAGCAGGAACTTGGGCTACACACATCCCTCTTGGGTTATGTCCTTACCAAGTCTTTTTGAGACAAGCAAACTTGGGATACAAACTCATAAATGAAAGACAAGGCACTGCAGAAAGGTTCTGTACTGTCTCTGCCTCTAGAGACCCTCTGGTTATCCCTCTGACATGAATCTTTTACATCCTGCCACTGAAATACTGAAGTATCAAAGCCATTTTTCATTTGCATATTTAATCCATTGTGTCTAACACTGGCCTTGTATTTTATTTATTTTGTATAGTCTCACTTGACTCAATTATTGTGATTTATTACATTCTCCCACACAATGACCTCATCCTACTTTTGAGGGGCAGATTTTCCCATCTCTCTTAAGTATTATGGAAACATGTGGGTTGTACAGTGATGTTATACCTGCACCTGGAGGAACATAACTATTGTATGTACTAGAGTCCACGTGAGCTTGCTTAGATTTTTAGCTCTTTTCCAAGAAGGAACTAATGCAATTTTTGTTTTCTTGATAGGTCCCCAGAGTATTTATCAATGGGACTTGTGTTGGAGGTGCCGAAGAAACTCAAAAGCTTCATAAGGAAGGCAAACTGCTTCCTTTAGTTCATCAGTGTCAAAAGCAAGCAAATTCCTGAGCAGCCATCTGGCTTAGCTTCGTCCTCTTTGAATACACAGCATTTCAGGCAAATTCAGGAGATCACTAAGGCACAGCATCAGCTACACTCAACAACTTCCAGCCCTGGATTTCTGAATCACAGGCCATTCTCTCACAGACTCTTACGGACTCAGTGTCTTTGCTTCACCTCTGCCACGGCCAAAATGGTCATTAAAACCATCATGTAACTCTCAGGGCTCTGTGTGTCAAGCAGTGCTGTCACTCATGGTGATTCCATCCTGCTTCAGAGAAGTCTAGACTGAGCAGGTATCACCCTGAATAGTTTTTTTGCTGCACATTAATTTGCTTTTTAGCTTCGTTTCAATAAATGGTCAGTTTAATTGTTCCTTTAAATTTACTTCTTCTCTGTCAAATTGTAATGAAGGAAGCACAAAGCAAAGAAGTTGGTAGTGATACTGGTGTATGTATGTCTGCTCTTACATGTCAGTGGCTGATCACTGAGCTCCCAAACTGTCTGTCCACTTGAACAGAAAAGGAATAAAGATTCTGGCAGCTTTACAGGAGGAGGGAGTGGCTTTCCTCTTTATTCTGCACTACAGAATATGAGTCTGTACAGTGTTGGGGAGACACAGCTCAGGGACACCAAACTGCAGCCACAAACCACAGTACTATCAATCCAACAAGGTGATAAAACACAAGACCAAGTAAAATGGGTCTAATATGCATAGAGTTTATTTAGTACTTGAATTCTACAGTCAGAATGCAGTTACTAGCCATTTTAACTTTCAGTTAAATGTCCAAAAGAAACGTCTGAACTCCAATAGTTTCAGTACAATGTACATCCAAAGCCAGACCAGGCAATGCCAAGACTTGGTTACATCAAGGAAGTAGAAAATTATATCCCATTCTTCAGTAAAAGGAATCATTACACAACTAAAGGTGCACATATTAGAACAAAAACATTAGTCAATGAATTTTTACTCCCTTTTGCTGAATTAGACTCCTGTTATTTCCATTGCTTTCCACACTGCATGTACCAAACCCACCTTTTTCCCCTCAAAGGAAAAAAAACATCACATTGATCCTCAACTCTGGATAGCCAGGATTGTGAGAGTATCATTTAAACTTGACAGCTTCATTTTTGTGATGCAGGTTTGAAATAAGCTTAAACTGCATCATTTGTAGAAAGCCTTTAGTATACAGTTGCCTGCACTGTGCATCTTTAATGTGTAATGAGCTAATTAAACACACTGACCTAGTTTTATTTGTATCACTGCAGTGTACTGTATTTTGCTAGGACACAGTCATCAAGGTAAACACATGAATGTGCATCTCTCCCTGAATTTATACTTAATAAAGCAATTTATTTCACACACACAGGGGTATAAGAATACCAAGTATTCTTTTTCTCTGTGTAAAATTGTTCGGCCAGTTCTCTTTTTTTTTCAGAAGTTTAACAATAATTTTGCCCCTGAAAGCTGATAAACACATCATGTAAAAATAATAACAATAGTATTCAAAGGAATTTTTCAAAGACCTTTTTACTTTGTTCCCCATTTAGGGACTTTTTTTACACAGTAGTTAAAATAACCCTTTGAGTTGCAAGTGTCAGAAATCCCAGGGCATTGTCACTTAAGGCAATATTCTCTTCCAACTGTTAGGAAAACAAGCTGTATGCCTGCAGGTCCAAGTGAGTGCCCCTCTGTTAAGATATGTCTTAAGGCACCCAAAGGGTTAATCATGTTTCTTTTTAACCGTATTAAGGCTCCCCATCCAAACAGTTTCTCGTTAATTCTGTATAATTTCATAGAAAGTAGCAGCAAGACAGTGCCTTCAGTACTGGATGGCACAAAGCCATGTTATGTTTAAGCTATTTAAACATGATATGGCAGTTAAAGTGTGGTTCTACTCTAGGAAAAGAAAAAACCCAAAATGAAGAGACTCGAGAATAGTAATTAAAAATTTCCATCATTTTTCCCAGCATCGTCTCCAGGGCAAAGCTGTTTATCTTAAAATATGTTCGCCCTGGGATCTGAATATTAAAAGGTATCCACTAAAAGACAGGGATACCTGCTCATGCAGCTGAAATCCCATGCTCCCAAGGAGCATGAGAAGCTGGAAACAAACATGGAGTTCTTTAATCAAGCAGACAGAGCTGTCAATTTGCCCATCTGCTACTTCGTTATACAGAACTATTTTAAGAGAGTAGAACTGCACTTTTAGAGGAGAATAAAAAGCCATTTTATTAGTAACTAGTTGTGCTTAACTCTTCAGAAGCTGGTAACATTAGGAAAGCAGCTAGTTATATTCCTTACTTGTTAATGAAGCATTTGTAAAAGTTCTCAACATACCACAGAGATATGCAAGTGTATATATATATATTTAAACTTAACTTCAGAATGCAGAAATAACCTAAAGAAACCACTTTTTACAGTATCAAAATCATAAACCCAAAGATGGAAGCACACACAGTTAAAGACACCGTATCTCCTGCTG